ACACCAGATACTGACTGGTTTTCGGACCCCCCAATACAGTAAAACTGCACATTTTAGAGTGGCCTTTTATTGTGGCCAGCCTAAGGAGGCACACTTGTGCAATCATGCTGTCTAATCAGCATCTTGATATGCCACACCTGTGAGGTGGATGGATTATCTCGGCAAAGGAGAAGTGCTCACTAACACAGATTTAGACAGATTTGTGAACAATATTTGAGAGAAATAGGCCTTTTGTGTACATAGAAAAAGTCTTAGATCTTTGAGTTCAGCTCATGAAAAATGGGGGCAAAAACAAAAGTGTTGTTTATAAGTTTGTTCAGTATATGTTACAGAATTTTCATTAAGACCCTAAAGAATCATATCAACTTGTGGAAAATGGGCATCCAATGACCCCTTTAAAAAAATGGACCCTTATGACTGGTTTTGTGGTCCAGGGTCACATATTTTAAAATTGTATTTATTGCTGTGATATGGCAAAGCTGAATTTTTCAACTCCAGTCTTCAGTGTCAAATAATTCTAATATGCTGATTTGGTGCTCAAGATATATACATTTCTTATTATTATCATTGTTGAAAACAGTGCTGCTTAACATTTTTTTGGATAGACATTTTTTTACTGACCCCAGCCTTTTGGATGGGAGTTACCATAAGGTATCTTTTTAATTTAAATATAAGATCTGACACTCTTATTTGACGGTTTTGCAGTCTAATCAGCTGTTTAATATCAAGCCTAGCATGTCTAGCATGTTGTTGTTGTTTGGATGGCTCTCTGTTTGTTGTGTGACTGCTTGACTGCAGACAGCTGTCCCATTGCAAACCTGAAGTAGGCCAAGACATGACTCTGGCAACACAACATGTTCTATATTTAGATAATATAATATGATAATATAATACATAATATAATATGTTCTGTAAATAGCAGCACATATGTCTTATAACAGTCAAAACATCATGTCTCATAGGTGTATATTAACAGAGTGATTTATGGTACCAAAACAAAATCTGACCCATAAAATATTAATTCACCCCAGAAGCAGAAGTACACTAAAAAATGCTGGATTAAATACAACCCATTGCTGGGTCAAATATGGACAAACCCAGCAATTTGGTTGTTTTGACCCAGCGGTTGGGTTACTACCCAGAAGGTTGGGTTAAACATTTAACCCAACTGCTGGGTCAAAACAACCCAATTGCTGGGTTTGTCCATATTTAACCCAGCATTTTTTAGAGTGTAGCATTTTAAATAATGTATACCTGGAACTTCATATGGATTGTGAAGTTTGTTATATATTTCCTGTTGTATCCAATAGATTTGTATATATGCACTACTGTTCAAAATTTTGAGGTCAGTGATTTATTTATTTATTACAAAATAATGCTTATTTTCAGCAAGGGTGCATTACATTGATAAAAAGTGACAGCAAATACATTTATAATGTAAAATTTCAAATAAATGCTGTTCTTTTGAACCTCCTATTCATTAAAGAGTAAAAGAAAAATTACAGTTTCCAAAAAAAAAATTTAAACTGCACAACAGTTTTTAACATTGATAGTGGAAATAATAAAAATAAAGGATTTGTTTTTGCAGTAGCATGATTCCTGAAGGATCACTGAAGACTGGAGTAATGACTGCTGAAAATTCAGCTTTGCCATCACAGGAATACATTACCTTATAAAAATATAAAAAGTGTTGATTTCAATTTTACTGTATTTTTTTCCAATTTTACTGTATTTTTGATCAAATAAATGCAGGCTTGGTAAGTTTGAGACTTCTAGATGTGAAGTAGAGTTGCAAAATTTTTATTGCCCAGTAAATCACTAAAAAGTTTTCTCAGTGGATCTCAATGCTGCATTTTATCAAATTTAGTTAAAATTTTATTTAAATAAAAATATATATTAATAAACAATATTATATAACATGTATATAAAATTAATAGCATTGTTAACTGAATTTAGTGTAAAAATTGCACTGTTGCAGTTTGATGCTTAATCTTAATTGAGATCATTCCTAAACGCTTGTTTTGAGTAACTATAATCTGTTTGATTTGCCAGTCCACTGAATACTCCACTGCAGTGTATTGAGTTAGCGAACTGCAGTCTTAACGCAGTGGACATGGCCTACTTCGCCAACAGCCTGCACAGTGAACACATAGTTAAGCTAGACTTGAGTGGTCATGAGGTTGCCGACCTCTTCCCCAACACCTTCCGGAAGCTTCTGCATCGCTGTTGTGCCACACTCACTAGTCTGGGTCTGGAGGAGTGTGGACTGGATGATGATAAACTGGATCTGCTCACACAAGCACTGACACCCTGTCATGGGCTAGAGGAATTGAAGATCCTGGGTAATCCACTGAGCACACCTGCTCTGTGCCATCTTTTCAATATGCTGGCACTGGGTTTTCCTGCATTGAGGTACAGTAAAATCATGTGTTCACTGATATCTATTTGGTTGTTTTTCTTGTCATTTGATTGTATTACATATTGTCTCAGATATGTTGAGCTGCCTGTCCCTCGTGACTGTTATCCCGAAGGTGTAACCTATCCACTGGATGATAGGATGCTGATAAATTATGACACAGAGAAGTTCCAACAAGCCAAGACCGAACTTGTTGGCATCCTAGAGAGGGAGGGAAAAGGACATATAGAAGTCTGCACGCCATTATTTGGAGCCTATGATCCTGACATCAATGAGACGAGCAATGAGCTGGGAGTCACCTTGCTGCACTCCTTCAACAGTGTCATAGGAAACTTCATTGACACAGTCAACAGTGTTACCCAACGGAGAGAGCAAAGAATGATGGAGTGAGAGTGCTAAAAATGCAATTGCCATCCCAGGAATAAAATTAAAGTATATTCAAATAGAAAAGTTATTTCAAATTGAAGTATCACTGTCACAGTATTTGCTCAAATAAATGCAGCCTTGACCAATTGAAAATAAAAATCTTACCAACTCCAAACGTATAGGAGGAAATAATGCAATAATAGCCGTGATTAATATTTACTTTATAAAGCATTTAAAATAATGAATGCATAACATATATGTAAAGTATTAATAACAACTTATACTGAGTATTTCAGTACCAGCCCAGTATTGGTATCATCGACATGCTAAAAATAAAACAAAATACTATCTTTACATTTTTTTTCCCTACATAAATTTAAAGATCTCATGTGACTTTAATGAATCTACAGCACATATGAAGGTTGGAATAACAGAAACAAAAAGATCAGTTGCTACAAATAACACATGGGGATGCAATTGTGTAGTAATATATATTAAGGTGTGCAATAAAGAACTCAAAGTATTTTCAGCTGTAACTGCATAACAGGATTTATTTGTGTGATTGTACTTCTGTAACTGATTTATAGTGAACACTGTTGAACGTAAACTGTATTTATGAAATTTTACATACGTCTTGAAAAATCTGTCACTTTATATATAGTCACTGTATATTGTGCATTTATTGTTCTTAAAGTCTGTATTTAAACAAATGGCCTTATCTTTGGAGTCTACTATAACATCCCATTAAACTGTCTTTGAACGATTCATTGACTACAAAATTGTCATTACTTTTTTCCATTTAAAAGAAAAAAAAAAAAACAGACATGTGAAGAGTTATGTCAGAAAGGAAATTTTAATAAGTATAGGGACTCATCACATTATACATTTTCTCTTAAATACAAGACAGCAGACATCACACCAAAGAGGAGCTTCAGTCTCTTCGCACTCATCCTACTTCTTTGCCCACTCCTCTTTTTCCTTCCTTTCACACATAACCTCCTCCAGATAGGGCTCAAGGTAATGCACATCCTACAAAGAACAATATTAATGGTGAAAAACATTTATTAAGCAGATACTTAAATAGATGTACATTAACATACACCTATGTTGACCCCATAAATAATCTCATGTATTTTCCAAACCCATGGTGAATACAATTATATAGAAAAATGTGCAAACACAAATTTTTCATTCAAGACACTCAGTGTCTGTCCCTATTCACTTTTATTACATGAAAAAGAGCGGCATGCATGGTTTTCCTACAATCTACGTTTGTATGACAAAACATGGGATTTTTTTTTCAGTCAACTGATCACAAAATATGAAATGCTCATATTAAAAAAAAATACACAAAATATGATGTCAAAAAATCGGCACACTATCTAAAAATCTTTGGGTCATAATATTTATTGAGGCACACGACACTCAAAAGAAAAAGCAGCTAAAATTAGAATACATTAAGCTAACATGCTTTCTCACCTCCTCATATTTAGTCCACTGGTCCTTGGGAAGAATCTGTTGTTTCATTGAAAGATCCAGAGCTCTCTTGAGACGGAACATTCTGTCATTGTAAACTTGTTCTGGGAGCCGACGAATGGCTTCTTTCACATCAGTGTCCTCATTGATGGTATCATCCCGCATCAAGCCTATATGACATGTAATGACACAGAAATTGGTACATTTGTTTTCTATGTAAATATCAGTCCATGAAGGTCACAAGTTCTAAACAATGCTTTGTCTGCATTGTAAAGAGAAAGCACTCCTTACCAAATTTGTTGAAACCGCATGCATTGTAGTACCACTTCCTGAAGCCCACCATGAGCCTGCTGGTTGCCGCTGTACAGGGACAGGAATATACATAACACCCAAAATTAGAGATAAGTAACGAGGCAAGTATTCTAAAATGTCATCCAACCTTAAAGCAACATGACTTAAACGTATTCTGTGGTTAACGGATCTGGAGCTTATGACAGGTGGGAATTGGGTTATTATAGCAGAAAAGTCACTGATGAACATGATGTCCCAGCTGACATTCGATTCAGTTAACCACCTGTATTCCCGGTTAACCATCAATGACTGAATCACGGAGCATTGTATTCTTCCTAATGCATCGTTTCCACTAATTAGGACATAAATAGACAGTTGCGTGGGAATGGAATCAGAACATAGTCATATTTTGAGTGGTAACGTACAGCCCGCTGGAGACAGACGGGGACACACAGTAGAGGACACCAGTGCTTTACATGACTAAACTAACAACCTCGTCAACAAACAGTCATACGAATAGCACAGAAGTCAGGCAGGTGGTATAATAACTCTTTAAATTATGGCAACAAATTCGTACGCTCGCAATTTTCCAAAACGCTGACACAAATAACACAACATTTTACCTGGTGCCCTCGACGCCATTTCTGCTCACTGGGAAAGTCGCACAGGATTGTGGGATACGTGACGTCTCGTCCGGTGATTACGCAATCAAATCAGCTTTTCTCGGCATGTGACCGCGTGGGGTCATTGGCTGTCACAATGTTTGTTTGTTTTTTAGAAAGATTTAGTTTTTCATAATTTTTCTTGATCTGTTTTTTCCACATTCTCACGATTTTATTTAATCTCTCTAATCCCAACATTCTTTATACTTCATGGCTAGACTTTATAAAGTCTTTTTTTCACCGAGTCATCTTTCCACAACATATTATATGATAGAAATGTCATTTTAAACACGTTTGGAATAAAATGTCTAACACACCAGGGGTTTTATAGATAAATACTTTAGCCCAAATTTTGCATAGTTTATTAAAATCTACAGCTTGATTATAAATGACGTACAATAAAAATGGGATAATGGCGTTTTCTTTATTTTCTTCACATGTAGCATATTTAAATGCACGCATAATCTTCACTGACACTGCTGGTAACCATGTACAATTTAAGAAAGAAAATTGTTAACGACAGTGGATATCAGGCAACAAAGACTTGTAAAAAAAAGTGTCTTGTGTTCTAATCATCATATGGAATGCGCACATTGTTTGAAAATTATTCTTTTTTAAATCTACTAGATTTTTCGGTTACCAGTGATCGTGTGAAAGCCTGTTGCTCTTACTTTTCCTCTTAGGTTAGTGTTTCCTGTAGTGATGCTGCATAAACAATAGTTTTTAAGCTTCTATACCAACATGTCTCCATGGGACACATTCGTATAGCTGGATTTCAAGCCATCAGATTCTGTCCCGCCCCTTTTCCTTTATACTAGGAGGCTGTAATATTTACGAAACTTATACTGGTTAAGATAAGTCCCTATACAAAATATAATCAACAACTTTTAAGCCACTGCATCAACATGTTTCTCCATGGGACTGGAGGAACACATTCCAAAAGCTGGATTGCTTGCCATCAGATTCATTTCCACCCGTGTTTTTAATTTAATATTTAAAAACATTATTCTGCTTCACCTCAAGTATGTGAAGTGTGGAGGATATTATCTTCATCTCTTTAAGAAGATCACAGAGGTTAAAAAAAAAAGTACTGAGGTCTGACAGACCCAAATGAAATTAGTTACTTCCTATCTGTATTTTATCTGAGATTAATAAGTGAAGTGACATGTGGCCAGGTATGGTGACCCATACTCGGAATTAGTGCTCTGCATTTATCCCATCCAAAGTGCACACACACACAGCAGTGAACACACACCCAGAGCAGCACCCGGGGAACAGTTGGGGGGTCGGTGCTTTGCTCAAGGGCTCCTCAGTCGTGGTATTGAAGGTGGGAGAGAGCGCTGTACATTCACTCCCCCCCACCTACAATCCCTGCCGGTACGAGACTCAAACCCACATCCTTTGGGTAACGAGGCCTACTCTCTAACCATTAGGCCACGACTAATTAATGACTTAACATTCACAAAAAAATAATGGGAAAGAAAGTCTGGACTTTACAGCTTTTTGTTTAAAATGTATGTGGCAAATTTGGTTTTAGATCTAGACCTGTATAATTTGACTTACACAAGTACACCAAGGGTCATTTTCAGCCTCCTATTAAAATGTAGTATATCATCACAGGATAAAAGATGAACTGGTACTATAACCAATTTAACTTTTTAATGTTTATTTATAAAACTGTTCATACAAACCAACTATTAAACATAATTCCATTTATTCTGTACATCTACAACGTTTTCTGAAATCTTTCAAAGTCTTCAAGAGTGGCTAATGCTACTTCTGAGCAGAAAACATCATCAGGCAGAAACACCAAGCGATCCAAGGAGATGTAGTTGGGTTGAGATGGTTGGTACTGAGCCCGGCCTAAGTACTCTAGAAACAAGTGTCGCTCCCGGATGCGAATAAATTTGGCATTAAGGACCTTTGAGAAAGTAAAAAATAAATAAAAAATTTGCATGTTGCACAGTATCAAGTAAACTCACATATTACACAGCATGGAAAATTTCGATTTAACATTTATTACACCAGTTATTCCTCTTATCTGACAAAAGATAAATACTATGCAAAGTGCCTCAAGTTAAATGATTCTATCTGTACATACAATCACAACTCTAAATTTATAAATAAACTCTAAACTGCATTTATAGGGCTTCGAACCAAACCATTATGAAAGGACTAAATAATATGTACCTGTGGGAACTTTGCAACAAGTGAGTGTGGAACATCCATGGTGTTGTGAACGAAGTCAAATATTTGGGTGAGTTTTCTTTTATTGGCTATTAGAACTTTAGGAACCGTGGTCACAATATGCTGGATTTCATTTCCACGAAATCCAAACTCCAGTTCACAAACCTGGATGAGAGAAATAAATGAATTCCTGTCACATTTAATATACAATAAAAAAATATTAATATATATATATATAATGAAGAAAAAACAAATCAACAAAGTGTCAGACCTTTAGATTCTCTTTAATTGGCTCTAAACTGCCACACAATAGTTTTGGTAGGCGAGTCACAATATCTCGGGCCTAAAGCAAAAATCACGACGACAACAACACTCATGGTAAATGTAGGTGAAAATCACTTCATTATAGATTTAAACAAAAAATATTTATAAGCATATAAGCAGTGATCCTTTTTTGTTCTATAAAAAAAATATATGTAATTCCA